ACAATGTGTAGTTTGCAATGCTGACTACAACACTACTCCAGACTCATTTCTTCGGCCAATCTAACGGAGTTTACACCCCAGATTTTCTAAGCAGTCCTATAATTCCGTTTAACTATACAGGCACACCACCTAACAATACTATGGTAAGCAACGGAACGAAGGTAGTAGTGCTTCTCTTTAACACATCGGTGGAGCTAGTTATGCAGGACACAAGCATTCTTGGAGCGGAAAGCCACCATCTTCATCTACATGGATTCAACTTCTTTGTTGTGGGGCAGGGTTTTGGAAACTTTGACCCAAATAAGGACCCTGCAAAGTTCAACCTGATTGATCCTGTTGAAAGGAACACGGTTGGTGTGCCATCAGGGGGTTGGGTTGCGATTCGTTTTCTAGCAAACAATCAGGGTAAGTTACATGTTGAACATCCTTACGATGCATCGAATGCTTGCTTTGAGTGACTATGATTACAAATGAAAACAAGAACCGCATTGTTGCTGGGGTATGGTTCATGCATTGCCATCTAGATGTGCACACCAGCTGGGGCTTGAAGATGGCTTGGATTGTATTGGATGGTGAACTTCCCAATCAGAAACTTCTGCCTCCACCCGCAGATCTTCCTAAATGTTGATCAATATGACTCACCTGTTGGGGTCCATTTATTTTATTTCAACCATTTTGGTTTGCTGACCCTTTTTTTTCCTTTTGACGTTGGCCTATCAGTGGTCAAAATTTCTTTTCTCGAGGAATGTATTTTGTAACAACATTTTCAAATGTCAATAAAAATTATCTGAGGCAAATCTGCAACTTTTTCATAGCATGTTTATTGAATTCTTTAAAATGAAAAAAAAAAAACCATTACAATACCTCTTTTCGATAATCATTCTTGAGAATTTTCAATAATATGGTATAGTTTGGAAAAATGAAATTATTATAGATTTTGCCAATATATTGTTCTAGGTTTGCAAATTGAGAAGTTGAATGCATATGGGCCTAGAAATTCAAGTCTAACCGCACAGGTGGCGAAGGCGAACATCGGCTAGTTTCACTTTTCAGTAGAGATGGTGGGCAAGATCTGGGCCCAGATGATTGGCTTTTCTGAAGCCCGCAATCAGCAAAAGAAGCAACCAAAGCTGAGGAATGATTTGTTTCTCTCTCTTACTTGGAACACTGAAGCTAACGATCAAACGCCAAATTCAATTGCCAAAGTCAATGCACAATTTCTACGACAACGTACCACAGAAATAGAAATGCATCGCTTTGCTTTTAATGTTTTTCAGTCACTATTCATCGGGAAAAGAGCTACAATAAAGTCAATCTTGTGGTTCAAGCTAGCTTTAGGGGTAAACTTTTTTTCAATTTCAACGACGTTCCATGATTAGAAACCTAACCAACTAAATCAAGAGTGAGCTGATGAAGTTGACTATATTATGGCCGAGGCAACGGATGAATATGAAGTCGTATTAATATTTTTCCCTGACTTTGCATGAATATATATGCGCACGACAAGGACAACAATGCCTGCTGAACCTTATCTCAAAGACTGAACAATGAATGTGACAAACTTTGACTGCTGATGTTACTGGGAAATGACTATTTGATGTATCATTTTGCAAGGCTGTCGGTGAGTTCTGAAGGGTAAGCTCAAAGTTGTTGTTTTTTCCCTCATTTTAATTATGCGGGGACTGAAGTTTCAGAGTCAAAGGCCTAAACCGTCAAACTTTCAGTTTAGATGATTTGAAACTCACTTTTCTCCTACCAATGCTTTTTATTAAAGTCTTTACCATCCTTTTGTTGTTGTCAAAAATAAAACCATAAGACTAGCTAAGAACTGACATATTGGTTAGGTCTGTGTCTATCAATAGATTTTTTTTTTCTGGTTAAGCATACAAACACAAGCACTCTCTACCTAAATTATCCCACGCCCTACTTTTTTTTTGCTTTCCTAAAAGTTTTGACAAGAGCAACAAAAATGACGTCTTCCTACTTTGAAACAGAAATATCAGCTCCACCTTCCCCAAATTTTACCTCATTTAAACAAAATATATCATTTTTTAAAGAATTTTAACCGAAATTTTGTTTACACCAACACCAACAAATCGTTGAGTTGGTAGCTCCATCAAGTTGGCATTAACATAAAGTAGGGATGGACCAAGGAGTGCGGTCACATCTTCTAAAAACTTTAAAATTCATTATATTATAAATATTTTTTTATTTATATGAATTATTTAATTTCACTTATCTTAAAATTCTATAATTTCATACCTTTAAAATTTTAATATAAATTTTTATGTTCACACTCCACTATACAATATCTTACGTACGCTGACAGAAAATGCTTGCAACATTGAGTAACGAGCATAGAAATCGTTATTTTCCCAATGGAAATGCACAGGGTTTCTCTTTGTCGTCGGACCTTTGTTGTTGACCAACCAACGATAGAAACGTCGAGCCATCTTTATTTACATGGTAGCTCCATTACGTTGCATAAAAGTAGTCAGATTGGCTCTCAATTCCCAGTGACTGATGTTCTTCGCATGGATTTTATGAACGCTCAGAATTAAAGTAGTGAAGTGGTGTTGCCTTAATTTAGGTTTTAATTCATTTGACTTTATTTCTTCTTGTAGTTTACTATCGTTGATTTATATGTATCATTCTTTTCAAGTTTCTTCTTTTTATATTTAGTCAGGTCTTACGTTTCTGTCTATATGCAGAGATTTGTACGTAGGAATTTATTTATAGAGATTACTACCCATTACAGACGTGCATATGAAGACTGCATATGAAAAATGTTCAACTATGTATTTATTTATATATGCATTGTATTTTATCTTTATTTTTAATTTTTTTGACTGTCGGAAGTCTTCCATGAAAGTTGCTCTCAACTTTACGTTTAAGGCCAGCCTACTACTCTGCCTCTTCTTTGTCTCATTATATATGAGAATAGAATGTTGTTGTTGTTGTTGATGTTCTTCCCATGGGTCCTTTGTTTCTTTCATTTAGATTCCTTTGGGTCAAAGCCATTTCCACGTAAGAAGGAATGCGTGACTTAATGGAAGAAGAATTTTTGTAAATTTTAAAAATAAATTATTAATAAAAATATTTAAATATATATAATAATTTAAAAATTTTATAAAGACAAAGCGTTAAATTCGTTCGCTTTCTGTCCATCCATGTTTTCATTTGTTTTATATTTATGTTTTGATGGCCTCTCGTCATTAATAGAATTCACGTTCCTTGAACAATTGACGGAGCCGGTATACATTGAAATGACACTACAAAAAAGTTTAGAAAGAATATTTTTCCATAAAAAATTTACAACAAAAAATTTAAAATTCAACTTTTTCATATAAAAAAATTCTTTATATAATTTCTAAATCTGATACTCTAAAATAAATTTTCTAACCCTATCTCTTCCTTGATCGGTTCTTTTGCATTAATTTTCTTTTGTTATGCGCGATTTGAAGCTCTTCCACACCATCTTTATTTTTAATTAATCTGAATTTAAAAGCCAAGTCAGCCTGGTTTAATCCTTCCGAAATTGATTACAATGATATATCATAATTAATTAATTACAACCATAATAAATATATGAAAATATATAGTAATAAAGAACACCTGGCTAGCCTATTATAAAAAAATTAACAAAATCTCTTAACTATATGCTTGTCACATGGGTTTTGCCTTGTAAAATACATTTAAGTCCATTTCTCTTCAAGTTGTGTGGGGTATCTCTTTTTCTTTTTATTTATTTTCTTTATGCTCAGTTCTGATTTCTCTTCAAGTGGGGCATCGTTTTTCATACTTTTATAGGCATTTTTATTTATTCTATTGTTATTATTGTTGCTATCTTTTATATGATTTAAGTTTGTTTATAAATTATATTTAGGGTTTATAGTCACTATGTTTAATAATGATGTATATGAGGTTCAAACATAAATCTCTCTTTAATAATGCAATATATCTTATTACTATATGCAATATTTTAGTGTTTAATTAAATTTTGTTATTTATGTGATTTTCTGTGTATTCAAATGTCGATCATTAGTTTACTGTTAAAAAACTATTTAAGAGAAATAAGACATTAAAGTTGAAATTAGAGAAAGAATTAGAGGCCAATTTAGAAGATTTTTAATTATATATCACATTTCTATGGCTTCGATGTTATGATCACTTTTATTGGTGACTGTGCATTAAACTATAAACTCTATAGCTATAGGGTTTGTAATAAAGTATATGAGTGTAATGATTTATTGTCTGTTTAGGGTGATAGGTAAGAATCTTAAAGCCTTAAGATAACCATCCAAAATGAGGAAACTTTTAATTGCGCTTAATTTTTTCTTACAATATAAATAGCATAAATTCAAAAGAAAAAGAAACGAACATAAAATAATAATAAAAATTATAATTATTAGTACATTAATTATATTTTTAATTAATAATACAAATAATTATAATTTTTTGTATATATTCAACTGACAAGTTGCAATTGTGCACATTATTTTAGACGTTTTCAACATATATTCAATTTTAAATTAATCATATATTCTAGATATTTTTATATTTTTATTAATAACTCATTTTTCCTTTAAAATTTTATGAATTCCTCTTCTCTTAAAATTTGGGAAAAGAGAGTTGAAAAGCAGTAATAGTAATTAATTGAAGTATAGGACATGCAAGGAAGAGGTAGACCCGAGCACTAATTAAGTAAATGTATATATATATATATATATATATAGGAGTATATTTGTATTCATAAGAGTCGATGCCTGACTCGGATAAAGCTGACGTTACCTTCCTTGTTAGCAGTGCAGCTCTGCTGGGCTTGTTATAAATGGCAGCTTTGCATTGCAGCCTCTTGTGTCTCCATCTCCTCTCCTTTCTTCTTCTCTTTAGGCCATTAAGAAGGAAATAAAATATTTGCAGATAAGAAAACAAACTCAAAATTAAGTCAATTATATATCCATCGCGCTCAAACGCTCTATGTTCGGATACTCAACAATCCCACACTCCTCCTCCGAGTTTCTCGGCCACACTCACGACGTCATGACGTCGCCGTTAAACTTCCCGCTATGTCCGCTAACTCAACTCACTGTGACCGAGTCATACGACTTGTTGAGCGGCGGCGGCAACGGAAGTTACAACTCGCCGAGTTCGTTACTGAGTAGTTGCACTCAGAAACAGAGTTTCATGCAGAGGAGCGCCAGCAGCCATTCCCTTCAAAACAACGGTCTCTATTTCCACTTTGCTTCAAGCCTTAACGAGTTCATTAACTCAGATTCCGGGCCGGTGAGAAGAGCTTTTAGCACCGGTGATCTAGACCAGGTAATTAATTTATGGTAGCCGGCTGTAATTAGCGCAGATTAACGCTTTAAAACATGGTTTTGATAGATTTAACTTGAATTTGGTTAATGGGTGGGGATAGGGGTGTCAGAGCGGTCTCCGGAGGTCGGAGAGCCCATTGTCTAATGAGAGTAATGCGAATGCCATAATTGAAGGAATGAGCAGAGCTCACCGCTACAGTCCTGAAGAAAAGAAAGAAAGGATTGACAGATACCGATCCAAAAGAAACCTTAGGAACTTCACCAAGAAGATCAAGGTCTTAACTCTTAATTATAGTATGCCTTATATTTTTCATGAAAATTAAACTACTTCTGTCACTTTCATGTTACACGCACTCATCTTATAGTCTCCTTTCACGCATCTGTAATTATTTGAATAGAAAAAGAAATCTAACTCAAAAATTTTCCGTATACATATTTGGTCGAATGATGCATGCCTTAATATGTTTATCAGTTTACGCATACATGCATTCATTTTTCACGTACTGTAATTTATAAGATTCAGAGAAAAGACGTTATCTTTTCAAAGACACGAACAAGTGATATTTTGCATGCTAATCAGTTAACTTACATGTTAGATATTTTGTTATCAGTATACATGTAGGAAAACATTGGCAGACAGCCGGCCAAGAATCCGAGGACGTTTTGCAAGAAATGAAGATATTGAAAAGAATGTTCCTCAAGTTGAATGGGGCCACCATGTACGTGGAGAGGAAGATCACGAAGAAGATGAGAATTGGACTTATTTTCTAGATTCACTCGCCGCAAATCTGATTATTCCTTAGTTAAAATGGATCATCAGTTGCCACTCTCGGATAGATTATTGTGGAACATTTTAGAATTTTGCATGTTTTGCTTAATAGATTTTGGTTCTTGTTGTTTTGTTAAATCTCTCAGCTTTAAATGGGTGGCGTTTGTATATATCAACGATAACAGTGTTCATTATGATAATATGGAATTCCAAGGATTCCCAAGATTGCATGAGCTTTATAAATTAGTAATCGAATATATTTATTTGACGTTCATTCGAATCTGAGTAACATATCAAAAGATAGGTACACCGTATAAGAAATGAAAAAAAACATGTGAATGAACTGATGTTTTCAGTACTCTAGTTAATCACGAAATACACTGAATAGGGATAGAGACAGTTTCAGGTGCAGCTTACATGGGGAAAACTATTTCATTTTGACTATAAATATGAGATAAGGATCTTTTAAAGATTCTTCCTTCTCTGAGACAACCCTCCTAGTAATCATAAAACTGAAGAAATTCTCCAAGAAGAATACCAATTGAAAAGGAAAAACATAAAAAGAAACACTATAGACTTCATTCATATATATAACTCAACAATTTTTTGGGGGTCTTTTTGCAGGCATTTTCTAGATTGTTTCTTCATTCATAAAAAGAAACACTATAGACTTCATTCATATATAAAAAGAAACACTATAGACTTCATTCATATATATAACTCAACAATTTTTTGGGGATCTTTTAAGGATCTTTTAAAGATTCTTCCTTCTCTGAGACAACCCTCCTAGTAATCATAAAACTGAAGAAATTCTCCAAGAAGAATACCAATTGAAAAGGAAAAACATAAAAAGAAACACTATAGACTTCATTCATAAAAAGAAACACTATAGACTTCATTCATAAAAAGAAACACTATAGACTTCATTCATATATATAACTCAACAATATGAGATAAGGATCTTTTAAAGTTTCAGCTGTTTTGCCTTCCATGCTTTTCTGTATGAGACGGAATACCTATACTGCGATTGGATAGCTAAAATCAACACAACAATAGTTATATGGGAGCTCGCTTTTACCATGGGCATGATGGCTTGACAGATCACTTCAGAGTCCAAGTTGGGATAATCTTGGTTAATCCCTCCAGTACAACATGTGTGAGGACCGTTGTATACCATTAGTTCTCATCTATTGTTTTTCCTCTTCATTTTCGATACGCAAACCAACCAATTACATCTGTTTTCACGTTAGGAACAGTGGCATAAATATTTTTCTGTCGTGAAGCGGGCGACTCTGGATTGAACATAATTACAGATATTGAATTTTTTTATAGCCATCATCGCTTTTTCTTTTCTTGAAAACTACATGCCTAAAGATAACTCACCATTATTTATTGATGAGTAATATCCATAGTTACCGAGATGAGACATATCCTCAAATTCTGGCTCGTACATTGCACCATAATCAACTTCATACATGTTTGTTGGAGTTTGTGCCACATTTGAGGGAACTTCGTCTACATCGTCATCAGTATCGGATTTGAATTGTGGTGATTTCGGGTGCATGAATAGTATAGTCTCAGCGTCATTCGCACCAGACTCACGAAGCGGTTCTTATGGTGGAGATTATGGTTCCTCCATGCTCTCCATATTTACGTCAAATAACCTACTACTTGTACGTCTTCCTGTTGAGTTAATCAATTGACGGAATCGGCCAAGAGGGGGGTGAATTGGCAATTAAAATTTTTGTGGAAGCTTTTGCAGAAAATTGAAAGTAATTGCATAGCGATTTACAGTGGTTCGACTTTCTCAAATAAAGTCTACGTCCACTACCTTAGCTATCCACACTAAGGATTTTCCAACAAATTCACTAATTTGTTCTTTCTTTTGAGGCCAAAGAGATAACCTTACAATTCCCTCAAGAGTATACCCCAACTCTTGAGAACACTCTTTTTCCCAAAGAGAATATTACAAATTTGCAAACTTACAAGAAAACCTCACAAGGTAAGATGTTTGCACAATTCTAGAACAACGAAAAGAACACTCAAAGATGAATACAATTGAGCACAAAAAGTGTTCTTGAAAGCAAAATGAATATTGAATGAAAATAGGCTTGAAATGCTCAAACTTGAGGTTTGATGCTTTCTCTTTGATTCTCTCTTGATTCTAGTTGCTTGATGTTTCTTGTTCTTGATCAATGACTTCTAAGCTTGCTTAAATACACCTTGGATCCTTCTGAATGTTGGGGATGATTAGAGAAGATATATAGCCGTTTAGTGTGAAAACATTTAATAAAACAGCTTGGAGCGTGGGGGGAATCGGTTCCTAAGTGTAAAATTCAAATATTTCGACCGTTGTACAAGGGGGGAATCGGTACCCCCTTGGGGGGGGATCGGTTCCCTCCGAGCTTACAGGAATTCTCGGAGCAAAACTGTTTAGGGGGGAATCGGTTCCTCCTATGGGGGAATCGGTTCCCTCCGAGCATTCTGGAAATCTCGGGGCCAAACCATTTAGGGGGAATCGGTTCCTCCTATGGGGGGAATCGGTTCCCTCTGAGCAATCTGTAATTTTTGGCTTTGAATTGGTTCGAAATACTTTGTAAGATTATTTTGAAATTGTTTTATGATTAAAACTTAATTTTACACTTAAGTAAGGATTAAAAATGATTTTTGAAATATTTGGAGTAATGTTTTGATATTCGAATAGTTATATCGAATACTTAGAAAATCATTTGGAAAATCTTAAAATCCATTTAACTTAATTTGTTATATCGAAATATCAAAATGTTTCAACAATCTCCCCCTTTTTGATATAACAAAAACATTTTTAGTATTTTAAGATTTTTGAAATCAAGTTTTGAAATACTCCCCAAAATTGGTCATATTGCTAATGATGATGCAAAAATGAATAAATATATAAGTTCACACTATTCATAAATCCAAAATCCAACAATCCACAAAATCAAACAATCCAAAATATCAAAAGTGTTGAAACAATATTCTTTTAGTTCAAAGTCTTAAAACTAAACACATAATCAAACATCCGGATCGGTAGGAGGAAAACGGGCTCGCATAACAGCCATTTCATGAGTTAGTTCATTAATACGAGCATTGGTTGCTTCATGTTTGCACGCATCTCCTGAAGAATCTCTAATTTTTGAGCTCCCATTGTGGATAAATGAGCTATAGAGGAAAAGCGTGAATCCATTGTCGCATAACGGAAATCAAATGTCTCCATAAAGGATTGAAAATATGGAGGCATTGAGTGATTGTTGTGCGTGCTCCTCGGGTTGTTCAGGTTCTTCTTCAGCTTCATCAATATCCCTCATTAGTTGTTCAAACTCGGGATCTTCGTCAGCTTCGGGTGGAGCTGTGAAGAACTAGCTCCCGGAGTAGAAGATCGAACCCATGCAACCGGTTTCCTTATTTTGACCCATCCCGCTCTTGTTAAAGAAAGAAGATTGATTTGTTTCTTAAGAGGAAATGAGGCATCTAGACCAACTCGGAGTTCAGCTTTAGAAAAGATTACTAAGGATACAACCGTAAACTAGTGAAGAACAGAGTTCTTATTTGGCACTAGGTTAACGGTTTCAACAATTTCAGCAAAGATAATCTCGGAGAGGTTTTTTTATATTGTTTTCAAAACAGTGCAACCACCAAAGATCTAAAGCTCTAAGAGTTGAATATCGACCCCCATGGTCGAAACCACCAAGTGATCATGAGATGAAAGAAACGTCATGGAGATCTAAAACACTTGCACTATCATTCCGTTTATATCGTGAGCCTAAAACTTGTTTTTCGTTTGATAAACCTTCATTGTCCAACCCTAAGGCATTGGCTATGTAATCCGGATCAAGATAGAAATATTGACCTAGGAGGTAGGAACGCACTCCTATGGTTTGGTTTTGTCACGATTTTTGATACAAACGCATTACAGTAGAAGATACGAACAAGTTGATGATAGACAATGGGTTCAAGTTCGAAAAGTTTATCAAATTCCATTCGTGCAAGATAGGGAGATATTTAAAGTTAATATCAACCATAGTTGAAGAGATGGGATACGTTCTTCCCTAATCTTATACGAGTCAAAATTGGTAAAACCAATAACGAATCTTTAGGACCCGGTTGATTGAAACAAGAATTTTGGATAGTCAAGTTAGGATCAAGATTTGGAATAGGATTTTGAGGAATAGGAGAGGATTTGGTTGACGACTAGAACGACTAGATGAAGACCTAGGACGTTTAGGATTTGACATGGTTTAGGAAATCGGAATAGAATTGATAACCTGCAATTTTAAAAACAATGTATGCAATTCAATTAATCCCAAACTCAAATGAGTCCTCAATATTTCAAGATTCTCTAAATCAATCCTAATGGGCAAAGTTTTTGGAAAACTTTTGAAAAATATGGTTTTGAGAAACAATATGTGTATAGTTTCTCAACATAATTTAATCAAAACACAATAATTTGAAAATAACAATTTTTTTTTATTTCGAAAATTTAAAAATTTTTGAAAAATTCTTGTGTTTTGATGAAATTAGGTAACATCTATTTCTAATCCCTAAATAATCAATGCCCGATCACTATTTCAACCTAGAACTAATTAAAACTAATCATATTTCAAAATCAATGAAATAGAGAGTTTAGAAAAATTTACCTTGAAAGATAAAGATTGAGGGGATTTAGATGGTTTGACGATTTTAATGATGATTGCAAGTTTAGGAGATGATATTTGAAGTGATTTCCGATTAAAATCAATGATTTGAGGCAAGAATGAAGATTTGAGTGCTTATAGGGTGATAAACGGCGGAAGAAGAAAAATGAGGATTTTGGGTTTTTTGGGGTGTTCTGCCCGATTTAACAGAACCCCAGGGGGGTATCGATTCCCCTGTGGGGGGGAATCGGTTCCCCTTCAAAGGGGGAATCGGTTCCCTCAGGGGGGGATCGATTCCCTCTGCACCAAAATGCTAAAATCTGATTTTTTAAGCACAAAATGCTAAATTAATCTTTTCTAGTGGGATTGGCAACTCATATATCAAAATTAATTGTTCAAACAATTAAATTAATCTTTAATCGATTTTTGAACA